GATCAGCCCTGAGCTAACATCCATGCCAATCCTCCTCTTTTTGCTGAGGAAGACCGGCCCTGCACTAACATCTATTGCTAATCCTCCTCCTTTTTTTCCCTTTTTCTCCCCAAAGCCCCAGTAGATAGTTGTATGTCATAGTTGCACATCCTTCTAGTTGCTGTATGTGGGACGCCGCCTCAGCATGGTCAGAAAAGCAGTGCGCTGGTGCGCGCCCAGGATCTGAACCCAGGCCGCCAGTAGCGGAGCGTGCACACTTAACTGCTAAGCCACAGGGCCGGCCCCTGCTCAGTTTTTATTATGAATGAGTATTAGATTTTGTCAAATGCTTTTTCTGTATCTATTGATATAATCATTGATCATATGAGTTTTGTTATTTAGCCTGTTGACGTAATGGATTATACTGATTGATTTTCAAAGGATGAACTAGCTTTGTATACCTGGAATAAATCCTATACTTGGTCAAGGTATATTAATTCTTTCTATATATTATTGGATTTGATTTGCTAATATCTCATTGAGGACTTTTACACCTGTATTCATATGTGTGCGTGTGTGTGTGTGTATGGGGGGGAGAGGAGGTAGAGCACCTAATGTTAACTGGTGAATCGGTGAAACTAGATAACGGGTATAGGAATGCTCATGAGTATTATTAAAACTTTTCGTAGATTTTGAAATTTTCAAAATAAAATGTTAAGACAAAACAACATGGGGGGGGCCCGGTGGCGCAGCAGTTAAGTGCACGCGCTCCGCTGAGGCGGCCCCGGGGTTCGCTGGTTCGGATCCCGGGCGCACACCGACGCACTGCTTGTCGAGCCATGCTGTGGCGGCGTCCCATATAAAGTGGAGGAAGATGGGCACAGATGTTAGCCCAGGGCCAGTCTTCCTCAGCAAAAAAAGAGGAGGATTGGCATCGGATGTTAGCTCAGGGCTGATCTTCCTCACAAAAAAAAAAACAAAACAGAACAACATAAATATAGGAAGCAAAGATTTATCACAAATACAAGAAGAAACTGATATAACCAGAATCAATGGTTATTGAATCAATGGTTATTGATTCTGAGTGGGAGGTTTTTCTCAGAAAACAGACCTAGAGGCCAAAAATAGGTAAATGAGTCTTCAAATAAAACAGTAAACAAAGTTTATCCAATAAGTATACCATATAGAACTTTGACCAATAAGGAAAAACATACACTCTTCTCAAATACATGTAACATGCACAAAAAATTGAGTTTATATTAAGCCACAAAGAAAATCTCAAATTCTCAAATGTAGAAATATGTAAGCCACAACTTCTTTCCACAGTGTAATAAAAGTAGAATATAACAATAAAAAGGTATGCCCCCAAAATCTATCACTTAAAAATTTTAAAATATTGTTCTAAACAATAAGTCAAAAAGGAAAAAATCCAAAATAAAATATACACCCTTTAGAAATGGAGAAGGATAGACCACTGTATTAAAACTTGTAAAACTCAGCCAAAACAGATCGCAGAGAAAAAAATTATGCACTTGATGTATTTATGAAAAAAATGAGCTCTGAAAATATGCTGAATTTGAGCACTTAGCTTAAGAAACTAGAAAAAAGAGTAACAACTTAAAAAGTAAAAAGGAATTAAAGATAAAACTATATGAATATAATGAAATAAAATATGAAAATAATGAGATAAAAGATTTCACCCCAGCAGCAATGAGTATTATCTAGCAACCAGATCTGGGTTTCTAATACCACTGTCCAATAAAAGGAACGGCTCCTTGGAGAAATGGCTGATTCTAGTACTGGGGCATGAAATATACAAGATGAGCCGGCAGCACCTTACAGTGCCGGAAAGTAAGGAAGTTCTTAAAAAAAAAAAAAAAGCAAGCAAGCAAAAAAAGCCTACATGGATGGGCTATGTCAAAGGGTCACAGGAACCAACTGAAAGAGCTCCCAATGGCCAAAACTGCAACCGTTTGAGCAAGAAAATCAATAAAGAAATATTGGATTACAACCCAAAGTAGAAATAAACATACATGAGTCCATACTGATAGGAATAAACAAATAAATGAATGAATGAGGAAGAAGACAGAAATCTCCATGCAGCAGAATTCCAAATTAATTTATGTAGACACTCTGCCCTTGAGGAGGTAGAGCAGAACTCCCCCTTCCTGAAGTGTGGAATGTGCAGTGACTTGCTTTTGGAGAGTCCAGTGAGGGAAGGGGAAAAAAGGACTAACTTCACAGTGGAGGAGCCTGGCGAACACAACCTCAGCCAGATGATCAAGGTCAACATCAACAGTAATATCATGTGGATATCTGTAACCTGAAATGATGAGATGAAAACAGCACTTGACCTCCGAAGTTTTCCTCCTAAAACCATGAGAAATACACTAGACAAATTCCAATAGAAGTACGTTATACAAAATACCTGCTCAGTAGTCCTCACAACTGTTAGTCATCAATAGCAAGAAAAATGTAAGAAAGTCACAGCCACGAGGAGCCTGAGGAGACATGACAACTAAATGTAATGTGGTGACCTAGATGAGATCCTGGGATAGTAAAAGGATATTAGTGAAAATCTACGGAAATCTGAATAAGTATGGACTTGAGCTAACGATAATGTATCAATATTGGTTCATTAGTTGTAACAAATGTATCATGCTAATGTAAGACGTTACTAATAGAGTATGGGGAACTCTCTGCACTGTATTCTCAAAACTGTTCTAAAAAATAAAGTCTATTTTTAAAAAAAGATTTGATCAATCTATGTATTCAGCAAATATTAAGTGCCTACTATCACTAAGTATAGTTTATATGGTAGTAACAAATGAGTAATTTTTCCCTGATCTCATAGTACATACGTTCTGGAGACACTTTAAATAAACACACACAAAATTGTATGTTTTCAAATTATGATGGGTGCTATTAAGAACAGGATGTTACAGAGAGACTAATGGCTATAAATGTAGTGAGAGATGACTGAATGATTTTTAAGTCCAGGAGTTGCTACTTGAAATATGCCTCTGCCTGCTAGAGAGAGAATGAATTGTTGGGCCAAAGCATGAAAACAAGGAGTCCTATAAGAAGCTTCAAAGATGGTAAGGCTTGGACTTGGATATCAGCAATGATATGGAAGAGAATTGATTATGGCTGTTGATAGGAAGCTACTGGTTTTTGGTGTTGATCTTGTTTCTTGCTGCTTTATAGAACTTTCTCATTAGTTGTAATAGGTTTTTAGTTGCTTGTCTTGGATTTTCTAGACAATTATATTATCTATATAAAATGTTTAATTTCTTTCCTTTTTCACTACTAATTTATACTTCATCTATTTCTCATTTTATTGCTTTGTCTAGAACAACTGCTGTCTCTAGAACGATGTTGAATCTCATCAGTGATAGCAAACATCCTATTATTTCTAACTTGAAGATAAAGCCAGGGGACTAGATAAAGGGTAGCTGACAAAAACCTAAGGCAAATAATATGCTTGAGTGAGTAGATAGAAGCATTTACATTAATGTCAGAACTTCATTTTGATCAGACTGATACCTAAGTAGAAAATATGTATGAAAAGTTCCCATTCATAATAACATAAATATAAAATATCCTGCAATGATCTTAATAGAAATGCAAATAACTAAAGAAATAAAGCTTTAAAATATTGTTTTAAGACATTAAAAAAAAACTGAATTAAATGAAGGGACATACAGTGTTCCTGGATTGAAGAGTTAGTATTTTAAAACTTTCAATTCCTGCCAAATTTATCTACAATTCATGCAATCATAATCAAAATCTCAAATACATTTTAAAATTAAAAAGCTAGTTCTAGATTTATCTGGAAAATAAATTTGTCAAGAAAAATCTGAAAAGTAACAATGACAGACTTGCCCTATCAAATATCAAAATATGGGTACAAATCTACAGTAACTAATACAATTTGGCACTGAAACAGAAGTAGATCTATGGAAGAGACTAGAAAACCCAGAATCAGTCCTAAATATGGAAATTTGGTACATGGTAAAGGTGGCATTTCAAAGCAATGAGGAAAGGATTAGGTGACAAAGGATCTATTATGATAATCACCCAAGGGCTAGCTTAGAACCCAAAATGTGTCTGATTTAATATAGAATTAGCATTGCTTTCTTGTTTAGAACAATCTTTTCCTGTGCCTCTGCCCTTACAATTCATATGATTCAAACATCTGGGGAACAAGAAGTCACAACTGATGTTCTCTTCTCCCTGGCCCTCACACAGCAGCAGGGTTTGGGGAAACAAGCATAAAGATGAAGGTTAGCTCTGTAATCATACGTAATACACAGACAGCTCTTCACTGCTCAAGAGAACACCCAGGCCACTTGTGGGTGTTCGGACCTTTGTAACACTGTGTAACTACAACTAGTAGTTTCTTTTTTCCCAAACACATTCCCATGAAAATAAATTTTTAAAATATCAAAAAGACAATGAAATGTTCTGTCTACTTTTCTTTGTCCATTTTCCTTTAGACTGTACAAGACTCATGGTTAGAAGATCATGATAATCCAATTCATCACGGCATGAAATAAAACCACATACCAATGAGCTACTTGTAAATATATTTGTCTTTATTATTTAAATCATGAATCTGGTATAACTATTAAGATAAAAGACAATCATTGACTATGCCAGTAACTATGGAACAATTTTTCATTTAATCAAAGTATTTGCAAGTATATGATATCAAGCACCAACCCTTTCACTATCTATGAGTAGTTATTACTAATAGCAGTATGTAAGAAAAAGACCTGTGGTCTCAGTAGACCAAAAGCTTCAAGAGTCACTACTGTGACGGAGCTGTCCAAAAATCTTACTTTGATTCTGGTTGCAGAATTAACAGAAATGCATGATCTAGTATACAGTACCCTGGTCACACCCCTTGTGTAGAGCTCTGGGTATTATGCCTTAAGATTGGCCCTGTCAGACATGTCAAAACTATGTCACATAAAACAAGCATGAGAAAACTAGGACTCCTCTCAAGGAGATTAAGCAAATACATAAAATTACTTAGTAAGTGCCTAAATTATATTCTAAATTCAACCAATACCACTTATTGGTTATACTACTTTATTACTTATACTACTCCTTAGACTGGAGTTAAGTAGCAAGTATCCCTTCCTTTTTAAAGAGGGGAAAACTGAAGTAAGAAGTACCAGAATGAGTTAATTCTCAATGCTGAAAAAAACAATAAAGTGAAGTGAAAATGTGTCAGTGTGGCATTAATGTGTCCAATGTAGAGACCAGGTTCAAGTTCCAGACAGGTCTTAAAGTTTCACCTTTACAGATTAACTAGTTAACCAAAATTTCATTCTTTCTTTTGGCTACACAGTCCTAATCTTAAAAATCCTCACTACGGATCATTATTAAAACAAGCTTCAATGCAATGTATAATCAAATAACAACTCTCCTTGGTCCTTAAATTATTCAAAGTAAGTAATTACTAAATAAAATATTAACAAAACACTTCCGCGTTCCTATATCTTCCTGCTATTCACATCTCATTCTATGTTCTAGACAGCTCTGGCAACGAAGACACCATGGAAAATATTATTTATAGTAAACTTTATTTTCATTGATATTTCATTTAACATAATTTCAAAGTAGGGCTGTGCTCTAAGATGAGCAAAAGAACAGATATCCTAAATCTCACCAGAGATTTTTTTCACACTGTTCCTTTGAGCAGGGCATGGGGTTTCAGGACCCCCAGTGTTGATACCTAACATTTTACCCCTTGAGATTTTACCTACAGACACAGAAAGAAGAGATAACATCAACATACAAGAATCAAACTGTGAGACGGTATTAGAATAATAAGCTCTTGTGTTATATACTACCCATTTCTTTAGGACTGTAATGATAATGACTAATTTTTTTCCTCTGCAAAGTTCAGTGTCTTTATTTTTTAAGTAAAGTGTCAGAATATGTGAAAATGCTGCACTTATTTCTCTTAATACACTAAGAATAGTGGAAGTTTTAAAATTCTTCGAGTCCAAGCTGGGACATGACTACGATTGATGGGGTCTACTGAACAAACTAATTCCAAGTTTGGCGACCATCAGCAAACTGTTAAAAAAAAACACATAAACAAACAACGTCAGGTAAAGGACAGAATAGGCACTTGACTATTGTTTTAAGGGACTAGGACTCTGCAGGTCCCTCACCACATGGGGAGGAGGTGCCAAGGCACAGCAGGCAGAGATGGAGCTTCCATCCCCGCAGGCACAAAAGAAAAACCATGCCAACGAGCTGTCTTGTACTGAGGCCTCAAAACAGTACACGTGAGTTGGAGCTCCTACTCTAATGGGCAACAACTCAGAGATGAGAAAACGGAAGGCTGGAGAGACCAAAGCCTCCCCACGTCAGAGCTACTTAACGGCAGGTCAGCGGCCTCCCAGTTCACTGTTCTTGACCCTGGTCTACATGACTACAAACCATTATGCTGGACAGCATCATCACTACGATCAAAGTTGGGTAAGTAATCTTTTTCCAAAACAGATTTTTAAAAATTCCCTTGTCTTCAGGATCTCTTTATTATACTTAAGGACTACCTTTTTTATAACAATCTGGTTTGGGTTTTATAATTCGAGTTAATTAGAAAACAGGATTCAATCAAAATTCTCTTCTAGCAAAATTGTCAATAATAAAGGACACCCACACAACTAAGAAACATGGAACCGATGCTGACAGTCACACAAGAGCTGCTGCCACGGCTTTGCACTGAGGCTTCTTCCACTGTAGGGAGGAGCCAGGACGGACCCGAGTGCAAATGTGAGAGCAAACTGTTTCCTTACTGAATGAATATACTTATTTTGACATTAACTCAGCTACTGTTTTAGCAGCCTTCTCTATTTGTATATAAATTAAATCATTTCAGTTCATGCCCATCAAGTATACTAAAACAAGTAAATATTTGGATGTACAAAGTATTTGGGGCATTAAACTAAACTCCCCACTAGAGAAAAACAGCAATAGAACAGAAAGTACCTGGCACCCGCAATTAAGCCTGCAGGCATAAATTTTCCAGAGTGGTAGAATCTCATTCCCATAATGCCAGCCAAGGTTCCAGATGTAGCTGATGGGAAAGATCAAGAGAGTCAAAGCCCATTATATCTTATAATAGGGAGAACTAAAAGAAGTGACCGAAGTCCAACCCTTCTTTCAGGGGCCAGACCCCACCTCATAGCTCCTCCCTCCTCAAGTTGGGGGAGCCTCACGGCACCCACATCCTATAGAACTAAGTACAATTACTGAAATATAAGGCCCTCACAGTCTGAGCCCAGCCTGCCTTTCCAGACTCATCTCCTTCCACTCTTCAGACATAAATTTTTTAATTTTCTCCAAACTTGCTGTAGTTTTTTTTTCCTACTCCTTGCCAATTCTGTTTACCCTGTATGCTCTTCCCACTCAAATATGTTAAAATACCCATCATATGCCATGCACTGCACTAGAAGCTGGAGAACACAACCGTCATCAAAAAAGGTCTTTGCCCTAACAGGGTTTTAAGTTTGATGGAACAGACTTGAAAGAATCACACAAGTAAAAAAAGTATAATTTGTGCTACAGGTACAACTAATGCAATACAAATAACATAATAAATAGGGGATCCAGCCTATTCAGGTAGATCAGGAAAGGATTTGCTGAGGAAGCGAAGACAGAGCTGAGGTCTGAAGAGCAGCAGTTAATAAGCTAAAGGGAGAGGAAAGCACATTCCAAGCAGAAGGAACAATGTCTGCGGGGCCCCGGGGTGAAGGCCAGTGTGGCACAGAAATCAAGATAAGGCTAGCGAGGAAGAGGGGCCAGACCATCCAGAGCCATGAAGGCCAGATTAGGGATTGTGGTCTTCATCCCAAGAGCAATGAGAGGCCATTAAAGGATATTAAGCAGAGGGATACGTAAAGCGAGTTGCATTTTGAAAATATAATTCTAGCTGTACCATGGAGAACTTCAGGGAAACCAGGGAGCATGTAGGGAAACCAAATCAAGAAACTTCCTCAGGAATGCAGGCAAGAGAGAGGAATGACTGGGACGAGGATGGTGGCTGTGGAGACAGAGAAGGCGATAATTTAGGATATGTGCTGGTGGTAGTGTTGACAGGACTTGCTGATGAATTAGACATAAAGATGGAGAGGAAGAGAGCAACTGAGACCCGAACAGACGGAGAATACAAGACTGAACGTGCAGGAGGACACGAGTCAGGTTTGGGCAGATGCCTTGCGATACCTAAAGGATTTCAAGTAGACATGTGTATATATAAGACTAAAGCTTGGAGGAGAAATCAGTTTGTGAGTCATTTGTGTATTGGTGGTAATTTAAGGCCTGGGCCTCAAGGACACTGTCAACACGAGAGTATAAAGAAGATAAAAAGAGCCAGGCCTCAAGAACTGCAGTACAGTCACGCGTTGCTTAACGACGGGGATACATTCTGAGAAGTGCACCCTTTGGCGATTTCGTTGTGTGAACATCACAGTGTACTCACACAAACCTGGATGGTACAGCCTACCACACACCTAGGCTATATGGGACTAATCTTATGGGACTGCTGTCATACATGCCATCCGTCACAGACCGAGACGTCGTTACGCGGCACCTGACAGTATGTAATGGCTCAAAGGGAAGACTGGTTGACAAAAGAGAATGAGAAAATAAAAAGGAAAACAAAGAGAGTGGAAAATGGATCCGTGTACCGTGCTGAGAACAGCTAACAGGCCAAATAAAATGAGGACTAAAAAATGTACACTGGATTTTGAAAAATCCAGGTCACTGGCAGCCTCAGGAAGAGCTATTTCTGTGGACTAAGGGGACAGAAATGGAGACCAAGTGGGCTGAGAATGTGAGAGATGGGGAAATGGAGACAGGGAGTATAACGATGTTTTTAGAGAAGTTTCTGAAGGGGAAGAAGGGCAGCAACTGGAGAAGGAAGTGGGATCATGAGACGTCCTTTTTCTTTCTAAATGGGTGAGAGATGAGCACATTTGAACATCAATCCATCTGAAAGACGGACGCAAGTAAGAGACAGGATGGCTGACAGTGTGAAGCTCCGAGGAGGCAGGGGAGAGGAGACCCCAAAGCCTGGGTGGAGGGACTGGCCTTGGAGAGCAGAGAAACAGGACAAGGGAAGGGCTGGAGGCTGACCGCATGAAGGGAGTCCCCACGCGACGGCGGCTGCTTTTCCTTTAAGGAGGCAGTGAGGTCATTCACTAGAGCGGAGGAGTGGGATCAGAGGGAAAAAAAAGGTCTGAAGGCGTTCCGTTGCGGAGCTCAAGTGAGCGAGCTGTTAGGCAGAGCTGAGAGCTGGGCGCCCCCTCCCTCCCCAGCACACCCCAAATCAGCCATCCCTTCCCAGCCCATGCTAACTTGTGCAAACCACTCTGTTGACATGCTTGTTCTCCCCACCACACTTGTAAGGGCCAGAACTGCATGTTTTCTCCCACTGTGGGTTTGTGGAGACAGTGAGAGGCCCACACTCCTAGCAGTGTCTGACACATGGGTGGAACTCAAGAAAAATGCACCCAAAGCCACCCTGATAAGAAGTAATCTTCCCTTCCCTGAGCTCCCCTGTGTGCTGCTCACAGGGTACTTCTCCACAATCCCAGAGTCACTTTTTATGTTCCCAATTAAGGTGAAGGCTCCTTGAAGGCAAACCTACGTCTTATACATTTAGCTTACTGCTAAAGGGCTAATGATTTTCAACTGGCAAAAAGGCAATATTGATGCAAACCTAACCCAGACACGTGATCCTTTAGTAACGCTCAGCACAGTCTTCAGTGGACAACCACAATGGTTAACAGACATGTACCCGCCTTGTACAAGTTTAATACTAATTTTACTGGGTAAATCTAAATTCATGAGGTGTGAAAACCTTTCCATATTCTGTATATAAAGGATAAACAGAAACCAGCACAAACACCCCCTATTTTAAAACTTCCCTAGGACTTGGCAGAAGCAGTGAAACTGTCTTACTGTGAAGAACCCGCCACATCCCACCAAACCAGGGCCTTCTGGTAGAGTATTCTGGATAGATAATTACACTAGGGAGACAGTGAGGTTGACATACCTAGGAAAACCCAAATGTTCCTCGGATCCTGAGACAGCTGATAAGCACCCAGGCCTGCTAAACCACCGAAGAGGAGCCCAGCAGCCAGGGACGGGACACTACCTAGATGGAAGCAAACACACTCCTGTACAATCATGTCAAACACTCGTTTAATCAGCAGAATCCACCAGACTTCCCTTATCTACAGAGGAAAACAGCAAAGAGAACTTCTCTCAACACAGCTCATAACCAAAGAGTTCTCAAGCAGGAAAAGTTTTGGGGCATTTGCTATCTCCCCAGAGAAGGCAGCGTCACAACACACCACTCCTCCTTCCTCTAAAGAGAAAAGAAGGGCTCCTAACCAGGCCCGATTAACCCATCAAGTGCTAGAACTGTGCACGGGAGGGACCTTGGGCAAATCCCAAAAGGAGAGGGAAAGAGTCAGTGAGTCAAAAAAAGATGCGGAGAATAAGAATTCTGGTGTGTGTTTTGGGGTGGGAATGCAGGCAAGGAACAGGGTAGAAATGAGCATGTGCACTAACACACCCAAACCTAGTCTAATGAGGCTTAATTACTAGTTAATTACTAGTTTAATTTACTTCAAAAAATGAGTATGCGAAGACTAGAGATTTCCCCCTCTCTGAAGAACACAGAGATGGCATTTTGGGGTCAAGGCTGATGTATGGCAGTCGATGATAATAACAATCTACTACCACCCCTGCCCAGCATCTTTAGATAAAGAGGCAAAAACAAGTGATTCGATAAAAAGCCTGGCTTAGCTCAGCCAGATAAGCAAAGGGCAGGTGCAGGAGGCACTGGGACTGACAATCAGCCTGCACTCAGGCTAGACGGCCTTTACGCAAACTTGGCTCAAAACAAGATTGCGCTTTGGGACCTAGAGACTCACTCTTCACTAGGAACAATGTGAAGATCCTAACAGGTTAAGTAACTACAAACCATACCTGCTTTCACATAACCAATGATCCCACCAGAAGCAACCAGCGCTGCATAGCCAAAGCCAATCCAGTGTAAAGGCACTCTGAAACAAAAAAAGTAAGAAATCAGTACCAACCATGTTAAAAATAATAATAACAATCATAGGATGAGACTAAAAGGTCAGCATTCCAGAACAATCCTATCACCGTACAAATGAAAATAAACCCAAGAGAGGTTAGGTGACTCTCTCAGAGTCAGTGGCAGAGCTAGGCCTCAAACCCAGGTCCCCGGCCTACATGTCCATCCTAAACCCCATGCTGCCCGGCAATCTACTCTTAGGGCCCTTTGCAGATGAGGAAAGAAACTCGGGTTTTAAGAAGCTCCTGGCCATTCCACGCTCATTCACTGTGCACTTACAGCGGGCCGGAGTCCTTCTGCATGTTCTTTCACTCCCTGCGGACAGAAGACTACACCAGGCCAGCACCTGCCGAGGAGGGGTTGATCAAAAGTGATTAACAGCACAGCACTCCAGCAGTCAGAGAGAAGTGGGTCCAAGTTTCAGCTCAAGTAATGGCAAGCTACCCAACCTCTCTAAGCCTCAGATTCCTTCATCGTACCATGCAGATCACAATGGGACAAATTTCCTAGGGCTGTTGTGGGCATTAAATGGGGTAACAGGCAAAAGTGCTTGGAACAAAGTAAATGCTGGACAGACACCAAGCATTTTGGTAACAACCTCAATTCTAGTCACAAAGGCCCACAGGAAACTGAGCAAAATGCACTGACCAGCTCTGTATAAGTAATGAGTTAACCTTTTTACCAGCTAACCAAGTTATTATTAATCGGAAAATAAATATCTCCCGTGCCCTTTCAACTATTTAAATTGCACCTTTTGCGGGGGAGGGTTGCTGCTTTTCACTCCGGACAAAGAATTGAATAATTTCAATACTGAACGTTTGTAAAACTTGTAGACGGTCATTTACTTCTGCATCCAACTCATATTTCTTGTTAGATCGGGGAGGGTGGGAGGATAAAATAATGGAAAGCCCGAGTCATAATTACGTGGGACACTATACCCTCAGCAAAGCCTAACTCCTACTTCCTTAAAGAAATGCATTTGGTATCCACTGAGGCTAAGCGTGAAAGCAATACATACCTCTTTGTTTTGGTTAAATTATTAAGTCTATAAAAAAGGGGGCTGTTGGAATAGTGCCAAAGTCATTAGTTCGAAGTAGCGTTCAGTTGTCGACATTTTTAAGGAGACAGAGCAATAACATCCCAGAAAACTAAACGACACTACGCTACGTCGGTAAGCATTCGCCTCAAGAGCTCAAGGTGCCCGCAGGATTCCCCACCTATTTTAAGGAAGACAGAAAATGCGCGACTAGAAAAGCAACTCCGACGCAGCCTAAAGCACCCGCTTCGATCCGGGTGACGAAGAGCAGGCGGCAGCAAAGCCTCTTACATAATTCTCAAAAGTCAAAACTGGTATAAAATAACAATAATAATAACTCCCGAATACCCGAGCTGCTTTCCTGAAGGCCTGCGCTGGTCGACGATAGCGTGCTACCCGTACCGCTGAGAGGCCCGGTCCCGCCGGAAATGTCACGGCGCGCGCTCTGCGTCCTGGGGGCGGGGCGGGGCGGGGGCGGGGCA